TTCACACATTATAATATCATATAAGATCTTATTGATTATTAAAAATTAATGTCAATTCTTGATATCAAATTTTTCATTTTTCTTCATAATGAGATTCTTAAACATAAAATAGGATTATAAACCGACACATTTGTTAAGATTGCATTCACAAACATGACACGGAAAATATGGTACGCAAAATATGGTAAATCTAATGTAACTTTTACTACATAAATTCGTCTCGGACTGTTACGGGGCATATACTTGTATATAGAGAGGTGCTGAACTTTTTTAGAAAGTTATCTTCTTAGTTTGTATGAAGTGAGATAAGATTTTAAGAGCTTAAGAATATATACAGTATCGGTAAATGGATAGGAAAAATCGAATGGAAGGAGAATTTGTACCCTATGTACAAAGATACGAAGTATAAAAGAAACGAATCAAATCAGCATGGAAGATTCAATGACAGAAGATCTCATTATAGAGATCAATATGAATTCGGAAAATATATCTTCTCAGAAGAAAAGAAGAGCCACAATATAGGTCACGTAATTTTTCAAGACAGTGCCGAGGCTAACAGAGCTCTGGAAAATTTGCATAAAAGGATAAAGGAGAAAAAAACAGAAAAAAAAGGAAATTTATATAAAGGAGAGAAATACAGAAACTATGTGCAACAGAATAATTATAAAATAGATTCAAGAAAGATAGATCAATAGAAGAATTGATAGAAGCTATGATAGATATAAAGGGATGACGGATATACATATATTGAAAATAGAAAGGATAAAGAAATGGAATGAAAGAGATGGGATAATAAGAAACAAAAGTTAATGGATGAATAACACGGATAACATAATAATTACTACTAACTGGTAAAAAATTTAAAGAAAAGAGTATGTACAAGGACATAGTGTATCTAAAAGTTTGATTGTATGTAGAACTAATAAAACAATGTTTCAATTGTTTTCGTTTTGGACACTTGAAGAACTTCTATAGAAGTGAATACACCATACGTGTATAATATGCACGGAAATAGCACGTAGGAAATGCAATAAAAAAGTGCAGAAACTACAATAGAAAGCATAAGAACATTTGGAAGAATTGTTCAATTTTCGATTATAAAAAAATGTTGAGGATAATCATAGCATGTAATAATGTGTATCATGAGGTCATGAAAATCTTAGCAGGCAGAGAGAACAAGAAACAAGTATTCTAAATAAAAAAAGTAGTTATCTTTGTCAAGTAAAGAATAGGAAAAAAAGAGAAAACAGATGGGATAAAAATGAGATCGAAATCAAGAAAGGATAGGAGGAAAACTGAATGAAAGAAGAATACTTACAAGGGAAGCTTCCGGCCTTCGGATCACCGATTTTGCCGAAATTTTTATTAAAATGTAGTATTAGTATAAAAATAATAAATATTATTTGGAGACGATGTACTTCTCAACTATTAACGAGAAATTACGATTTGATTTTTCTGCCTCACGCTCAATTAGTACCACTGCAATTGTAAGACAGGTTGGGTTAAATTATTTCTTTCAAAATAAAACCCCCTCTATGGGCATCAGAGAGAAGAACCCTCTCAGAGTTATCCTTTCTAAAAAAAGGCATGACATCCATACTCGCATCTCTCGAAGTTTTCTCGAAGTTTATTGTTGACGCTTGATTGGTTCTCTCGCTGCACTAACTTTGTGAATAGCTGTCATTGTATTGATCTCACAGCGAGGATCGTTTTGACAATTATATCAAGAAGTTAAAAATATAGTGTAATAGTAATATAATAGTATTATATTAATTTTCTTGTGTTAAAAAAGATAAACATTTGTTATTACTAGACATTACAACGCGCAGCGCGTGCTTGTAATGTTTAATAATAAGTAAAACAGATATGTACTATGTGTAGGTACATATATTGTATTGTTTTATGTTGTTGTTTTTCCTATCTTCTATTAATAATTAATAATTTTTTTAACAAATAACGAACGATGGAAAAGATCAATGCTCTTGATTTTTTTAAGAGTCAAAATTAATATCAAGATCATTTGAAACCAATTATGTAAAACTATACTAATTATTTTTCAAATCTTTTTGTTAATATATTTTTAACAAACAGAGAACGATGGTTAAAATCTTTTGAACATTGTTCAAGATCTTGATAATATATGGAAAGATTTGGACCTTGATAATAAATGTCAAGATCAAGATCATCAAGGCTGACTCCATTGGTATATTTATTATTAATTTGTAAAAACAAAAAAGTGACTACATTATTGTTTATGATAGAACATTATTATTTCTCTATCTATTAAATTTCGAAACACAAATACAATGGAGTAGTCACTTGGATGAACACACAAAGATTAAAGATATCGATATAGAATGCCAGTGTTGATTATACTATATTATAATATAGATATTAGATGATTGATGTTAGATAATAAATACTATAAAATTAATATTTTTGACATATAAAATCCTTAAATTCTTAAGAATTTACTGATTTATTTATAATTTGACAATTACATATATATGTTTATTAATAAGCGTAAAATAAATATAAAATAGATATAAATGTAACAATATTGGACAATATTGGAAATTATGTTACTTACAGAATTAGAAATACTCTGATTGATGGTTGAAGGCGTTAAGTGAATCAGTAGATGTCGATCCAACTCCGGTTGAACTGTGTTTTGCGTGGCAGGTGAAGGTCTAGGAGGCAAAGGCGGTGGAGAAAGACTTTGCATGGATAAGGATTTGCGCGACGGCAGTGGGGGCGGCACGTCTGCGCCACTGCCGTTATTTGAGGATGGACAATAACCCGAGGAACACAAGGTGTTTGTTACCAATGAGCAAAGCTGTAAGACACAACAAAAAGTTGCTGTTACCAAAGAGGCAAAGCTATAAGATACATGGGTTAGCAAAAATAGGCAAAAGCTTTGGTGCACTCACAATAGTTCGATCGATACATAGGATAGCCTGTTATCTTTAATAGAAATGGAAAAAGAAATAAATTCTATACAAAAATCACAAATGTAAAATAAAAATTCTGTTTTCATAAAAAGTAATTTTAAACATCGAAAAATTAATAATTAGTAAATTGATTATCATTATATTCTAATCATTTTTAGTTGTCTTATATATCATCCAATATATTTTTGATACACAGCAGCTATTAAAGTGTACATGAAAAATCATTTTTTGTTTTAGAAAACAAGAGATTAATTACAATTAGCAAAGAAAGATGTAGATTGTATTACAATCATCCTTACTTGTTTAAGTAAATTATTATATAGTCATCCCTATTTTGAGAAATAGTTGTTATTAAGGATCGGCTCGTTGCAGTCACATTAAATTATGATATTAGAAATAAAAAATGACATTCAAAAAGTTTCTTGCACCAAATAACTTTATTTTGTAACTTTTTTTTTAAAAACATATTTTCATTCTTAAAACTTGTAAAAAATATTAGAAAGTAAGATATCTGTCCAATAGATTATGTAAAAAGGTAAAATAATTCTTGAAATAAAGATTACTGATTAACTATCAGAAACAACTTGATCTGACGATTTCTGATAGTTGAACAGTGTATCATTATTTCAAGAATTATTTTATATTTTTATGTGATCTATTGAACAGATATCTTACTTTCTCATATTTTTTATAAGTTTTAAGAATAAAAATATCATGTTTTTAAGAAAGTACAAAGTAAAGTTGTAAAAATTTTGTAAAATTTTGTAAAAATTTCAATTAGAGTTATTTAATATTAATGATAAATTTCTTAAATACTTTAATTAACATAATATTAAAAATAACATAATAAAGTTAAAATGAAGTTGTTTTCTCTTAAATAATTATTATTTTATCTAGACAAAAAGATTCCTTCAATTTCTGATATAAAATTATGCTAGCCATGCTTGAAGTTAATTTTAACAATAACAAATATAAATAAATAATAAACTGAGCATTACAAGCAGTTTTGTATATTATAAATATAATAAATTATATATATAAAAAAATTATTATTATATTTAATTTTATATTATTTTATAATATACTTAGTTGATATATATGCATATACCTTTTACAATTTTATTTGTTTCAAAATTTGCACCTATTTATTAAAATTATATAAGATAACAAAGGAGAATAGTCATTATAAGATTGTTATCAGCCTAATTCAGATTGAATTATATTGGATCAAATTGATCCTCTAGGACATAAGTCAATAAAGTTTTGATCCTCTTAACACAAATCAATAAAGTTTTATAAAAAAGTATTTTATATATAACTATACAGCTTTATAAAAATCTGTTATAAAAGTTTCTTATAAAGTATAAAACCTTCATCCATTAATGTAGACAAAAATATAAGATTTTGTTTCAAATATAAAAGAAATTAACTTTCCCTCTTTTTTTTCTCTTCCTTTTTTCTTTCCTCTTTTCTCCTGCTCTTTCTTTCTCTCCATGTTTCCTCCCTCTCTTCCTCTCCTTCTCTCTTTTCCTTCTCCTTTCTATCTCTCCTTCCTCTGACACCTCTTTTTCTCTTTCCACATTCTTCCCCAATCCCTTTCTCTCTTCTCCCACTTTTCCTTCTCTATCTCGCTCTCTTTCTCAATTTTTTTTCACCTCTCTTCAAAATATGCAATGATATCCCATTCATAATATAAAAATCTTAATAAATCCTAAAATATCTCAATAAATCCCCTCAAAAAAATTTTATCACTTATCCTGGATTACAACAAAATAGCTTGTAATATTTTATGTGGCTATGTATTTTTTAAAAATTATTTCCCATACTAACAAATAATTTTTCTTAAATATGTACACTATTTTTTTAGAGAGAAAAAAATTATGTATATTAAGATATAGTTCACTTGTATGCATATGCGCGTGCAAATATTAAATTAATTTCTCAATTTATATCAAAGGTAACTGTAATCAAATTTCGATTAATTTAATCGGTGATTAACTTATCAAAAAATAGTATTACTAACATAAAATTATTCATTTAATATAGAAAAACCTAATTAGAAAATTTGAAAAATATTTGCCAATTTGCTTATTTGCCAATTAATTATTTCATTAAAATTTCGTCAAAATCATTGTAAAGATTTTTTATGGTTTCTATATATTAGGATATGATAATACTAAAGAATAACAAGCTAATTTATATGACGATCAATTTTCCATTCTTTTTCAAAATGACAAATGTAGAAAATGATTGGTTACTGTTGCTACATCTTATGTGTGTGTGTCATTATTTTTTTTTAGTAAATATTAAATCTCTAAAAATTTTTACCTTTTTCTTTCTATTTTAATATTGTTTTAAGATAGTATATATATTTCTTCAACTTTATGTATTATTATATCTTATATAAAAAAAATAGATAAACTTCTAAAAAATTTTAACCAATAAATGCATGTATATCCTTTCAGATAAAAAATATATATATTGTATACACTATTTGTCAAAATCTGAACGCACATTATCTCTATCATTAAAAATACCATTAAAAATAACAGAAGAATTAATCTTTTGAAAACATTTTATTGATATGATAAAAAAGAACTATTAATCAATATATAATTATATATTTCAATAAAATATTTTTAGAAGCTTGTTCCGTAATATTTAATTTAACTAAAAGAGATAAGAGGTATGCTCAAATGTTGAACAAATAGTACAAAATTTTGTTATAAGCATGTGTGTAAATATATTCATTAAAAATATTTAATTTAAAAAGATAAATTTTTTGTTTAATTTTAAAATATCCTTTTTAACATATTTAAATTTTTATATTTATTATTTTCTTAAATATAGACTTAAATATAGACAGAAACAAAATTTCGACTAATGATGTAATTTCATTATGCCAAATCCATTATTAACATAAAAAAATATAAAGAAAGATTAAATATGACAGACCTGTTCATTAGTGGAACTAATCGCTGCAAGTTGTTCTTGCAAAGTGCGCACTCTTCTTTCTGCACCTGCTAACTCTCCTTGTATAGCTGTGATATTGACGTTGCCACTACTTGTGCCACCCTTTGCCAACTCGCTTCGTAATTTGTCTACGTAACTTTGTTCTTTTTCCAACATAAGCTGAAATGTGTGAACCCTCTGTGTTTCCAACTGCCGTTTCTTCTCGAGCTAAAAATAAAAGCAGAGTCCATAAAAATAACAAGCTAGACTCAAATAATTTATCATTCTTTAATTACAATTTTAGAAATATAAAAGATAACTTTTAATTTTTTTAATTCAGAGAAATATCTCCGATAATTATCTCTTTTTAATTTAGTTAATACTTCTGTTTTATCAAATTTTTTCAACCTTGATAAAATTCTGTAGTTTTTAAGAATAAGAAAAAATTAATTCTCTGAAAATAATATATTTTTCATATTTTTCTAAGAAATAAATATTCTATATCCTATATATATTTGTACATGTTCCTATGTATCCATTGTTTCATTCACAATTTTTTATCATAAGAAAATATAGGAAATGAAAAAAAAATTGAATTGAAAAGAGAATTACATGTGCTCTTACTTACATCAACTGGCTGTGGGCCTGTAATTCGAGTATTACATGGAGCACCACCTGCCGGTGCAGTGGATGCTCTATGAAGAGAGGTCGCTGGTTGTGAAGGTGACATGTTTCCAGACGCTGACAGGCTGACGGGTCGTTGATGCTGTTGATTTGTAGCACCAATTACTCCAACCTGTAGACCAGAAGTTGTTGTTGTTGTTGCTGTCGTCACTGTCGTTATTGCTGCTATTGCTG